ATTAAAAGTCCAATGCTCTACCGACTGAGCTACCCGGGCTGATACTAAGAATTGAATTGATATGGTATTCAAGTCAAAAAATATTCTGAAACAAATTCATTTTTGAAAATTACAACTTGATAATTGTATGAAAACTATTTTACGGGTTTTCTGACCGTGGTCTGCAGGTTTTTATGCCTGACGCGTCGTCTACTGCTGTGGTAGAGCCAAAAAACCAGTAAAATGTATTTCACACATGTGTTCAGGTAAAAACTAAATGAGAATTTAAGCATTAGCAATTGGGTAATACAAATAAGATCAATTTCTCACACATTCGATAGTTCAGAAATAGTTGAAAAAAAATATCAATTTGTTTCGGACAATTTGGAAACGATTACAAAAGATTATCAATCACAACTATAACCGATGGAAAATCTACAACACTATAAATAAACTTACACAACCACAATCCGAGTGTGGAATATTCTTCATAAATCTTCATAAATTGAGAATTTGTCGTTTCTGATCATTTGTTTTTATTTAGTCTGGTAACATTACTTGGCGTTCAGCTGGTATCGCGGGGAATCCCCGGTCAGATACCTCGGGACTTCCCCTTAATAGAAATCCAATCAAAGTATCACATGCAGACGCGGTCTCGCATTATGTTCCTATATTTTTAAAAGTATTTGAAGTGAGAATGAATAATTGTGTTACCGAGTTTTTAAACGATAATACGTGTTCAATAAGTTAAATTTCATATTTGAAAGTTATGTCAATATAATTCATTTTACATCCTCAATTTGTTCTGTAAAATCTACCTTTTTTTTATTTCATTATACGTATTATAATGTATTGAACATATATTACGTTAGTGAAATACTACAGTAGGTAATATACAAAGTAATATTTTTATATATCATATTCATCAAATTTTCTTTTAAAGGAAGTAGTCCACTTCTTATGAGTTAATTATTCTTGCGGTTAGAAACAAGTACCTTCAGAAGTTACAATATTGGGACATTTTTCATAATTTATCAATCATGTCAGGCTTAGGCACTAAGAGAGATAGAGATAGAGGAAGAAAATGATTCAGCAAAAGGAAAAAAGAAAATTTGTGTTTCTTTAGTTAAAGTAAAGTCAGTAAAATAACCGCAGTGTCAGTGACTTTGACTGGGGTTTCAATACGGCGACCTAGACATGATGTTTTTCATTAGTTTTGAGTTGTTTTTTTATTTTTAGTTTTGTTGTTGGTTGTTCCGAAAAAGTACATAAATAAAAGTGTTAAGGGTTTCTCAATTATTTTTTTTATTTCAAGTGTTGTTTTTAATGTATAAGCCCTTCTTCTTGCACTATCAGAGGGCCTCGGTAAATCTACATAGCCCACATTGAATTTAGGTCTTGCACCGCCACTGGTCCTAGTGATACATAAAACATATGAAAAATTACTTAAAGTGCATTTTTTTGATAGCAGTGAACCCGCTTAAAAAGTGGAATATCAACCTTTGTCTCCAAATTCGTTATCAGCTTTGGAAACAGCATCACAAGATGATACAAGGATATAAAACGTACATATATCAGATATCAATGACAATAAAACAGAATCCACCATAATCCACCTTTGTATATCTAACAAAACATTAAATCCCCAGAAGGCTCTGAGCGATTAAGTAAACTGAATATAGTCACAGGTGCAATCGACTAAATTGCCCATTGATAGAGATTTCAGCTGTCTCATTAATCATTCACATTCCCAGGCGAGATACACCATATGATACTGTGAATTTCTATGTTCAGGCACGAATAGGGTTGCCTCATTTGTGTTTTTTGCATATTCTCATTTGTTTTGGAATAACAGTTGACGTTATGATGAAGGCAGCATTTGATATAGTTTAATAAATCAACCGTTTTGACATTCTCAAGTTGATAACTTGTTTGACAATTTTCCTTCTCGCGTTTCCAATAGAAGTACATTCTTGAGATGTGATGATATATTTTCAGAAATAGTTCTAGAGTGCCGCCAAAGGATCCAGTCTCTCGCAGCGTAAAATGAAAAAAATGCTGCATTACTTCTAATCAAAAATATCGCTAACGATTATCATTGCGTCACCTGCCACCAAAAGACCAACCATGAGTTTCCCCCCGTTTCTGACCTACCTCCCATTATTATCATTTTAAACAATGGTCGTTTGTTCTCTAGATGGAACCCCTTTATTAAAAGCCTGGCAAAGAAAATAATAGAGGAGACGATGCAGAAATAATCTGGGAAACAATCGACTGTTTTGCTAAAGACCTGCTGATGTTCCACAAAATTTCAAAGTTAGGATAAACGAGTTTATGAAAATGGAGGTTTTGTAGAGAGAGCACTTTAATCATCTCTGATGACACTCAAAGAAAACTTGAGAAAGAAATTTAGGAAAAAAAGGATCTCTACTGGAAGACGTGAGAAGATCATTTACAACGAATATCTTCACATGTTGATGTGATATCTTTTTACGAGCTTTAATTCAGTGGAAGCTATTTTCCGGGCTTTTTGGCCGTGGTCTGCAGATGTTTATGACTGAAGTTTTGTCTACTACTGCGGTAGAATAATCTAAGGCGATGTGGTCGCAGTGTCTGAGTTGGTTCCCGTTCTGTCAAATACGATGCTGATATTTGACTCTGATCTATATTATTCTTAGTGGGCGTGGTTTGGTTTCTCCTAATTGGATTACCCCACCTTGTTTGTGTACCTGTGAATACAGGTAGAAATATTTCATTGACATTCATTGTATATTGCTGGAGTTTTTTCCCAACACCAAACCGTTATTTTAACACCTCCCCACGTGTTTTGATCACCAAGTGAGATCATCTTCAAGAGGATGACCAGCTTGATCTTCTTCTTGAAGATGATCAATTGGTGATCGAAACACGTGTCGAGGTGTTAAAATAACGCTTTTGTGTTGGTAAAAACTCCAGTAATATTCATTACTATACCAAAGGTTCCAAACACTGCAGAAAAAGGATATTCATTGCCTGTTCTTTTCCATTGAAATGTCAATTTCAATTTCCAGGGCTTTTCATGATGAGCGTTAATTAGCCGTTTCTGGCAAACTATTCAACGGATCAACCTGAAAATTCCACAGTATACATAAGTCAATATGACCTACACGCCTAAAATATTTTAGATGAAGCGGCGTTGTCGCTTTTACTATAAAATGACGGCTTCTTTGATTTTTCAAATGGAACACCCCGTATACAATATCATATTATGATCCATTATCACTTTGTCAACAAATTCATATACTATTTTCCTATACCTATCTATTACCGTTTAGAAGATATAAATTAATTTCGATATTTTTTTTACCAAACATGAACTTTTATAAATGCTGATAATCTTGAACTCTCTTGCACTAAAACGATCAAATTTGAAATGGAGTGGAGTGATACTATGAGGATCTTCACTCCAAGTGATATTTTCATTTGCCTCATACAGGGTCTTCAAAAAATGCAGATACTTTGATCTCATGAACAAATGAGTGGAACTCAATTTTTTCAAATGGAACACCCTGTATATTTCAACATTTTTGAGCTCTACATCCAATTTTAGATTTACCACAATGGAATTTTGGGCAGCTGAATTCAAACGTGGCCGTAATAGCTTGGGAAACGATGAGCGTTCGTGAAATGAACTGCCATTAGAAAACATCGCCAAAGTTCACCAAATGGTGCTAGACGACCGCCGAATTGAAGAGACAGAAATAGCAGAGGTTAGGGACATGTCAAAAGAACGTGTTTGTCACATAATAAATCAACATTTAGATATGAGAAAGCTGTAAGCGCATTGGGTGCCGCGTTTGCTCACGTTAGACCAAAAACGTGTTCGGATGAACATTTCCAACGGTCTGTTGCCGCAGTTTAGGCGCAATGTATTCAAATTTTGGAGCCAATTAGTTACTGTCGATGAAACTTGGATACGCCCGAAACAAAAACACAATCCAAACAGTGGACCGCAGAGGGGGAACTGGCTCCAAAAAAAGCGAAAACGGTTTTTTCGGTTGGGAAAGTAATGGCGACTGTTTTTGGGGATATTCATGAAGTTATTTTGATCGACGGTAGCTTGGTGGGTAGACGTGGGTGGTTTGCTCGACGAATTCAATCGACCGATGTGCGAACCGGTGGTTTGAATCGCAAGGCCGGACGATCGATTTTAATTTCCTATCGTCCAACCCATGGAGGAATCACTGGAGTTTTTTCCTAACACTAAATCGTTATTTTTAACACCTCGACACGTGTTTCGATCACCAGGTGATCATCTTGAAGAGGAAGAAAAAACTCCAGTAATATCCATAAATTGCTATTGATATCAAGATTGCTGAATTGGTTTTCCTATCAATAGAATTATAGTTTGTGGATTACTACAAAACAAATGAAATAATAAATGGTCACAATTTGAAACCTGTCTTGGGGAAAACAGTCACATTTGCAGAAAAAGAAAATCCTGTTTCACCAAGACCACACGCCGTCTCACGCATCAGCGATTGCCATGGTGAAAATCCACGAATTACGGTTTGACCTGCTTGACCATCCGCCTTACACATCAGACCTAGCCCCAAGCAGCTTTTTTTTGTTCCCCCGTCTGAAAATTGGGCTCGGAGGACACAGATTTTCGTCAAATGAAGAGGCAATCACTTTCGTGGGCAATTGTTTGCAGAAAAAATCGTCAAGTACTATTTGTACGGGTTACAGAGTTCGCAAGACAGAAAAAATGACTTGTATCTTTGTTAAGTTGCGAAGTTCTCGAACCACCCTCGTCTTTCTTGAAAAGCTAAAAATACTCCTCGGAACTTTCCCGGTTTTTCAATGTTTCATATTATTTTATGGGAGGAAGAATAGTGTTAATAATAACCTGGAAGCGAGTATAACCTTCAGAATCCCTTTAATTAATATCTGGGCCTCGCCCTTTCCGATCCTCTCCGAAAACTGGGCAAATGAAAATTTAGTGAGCTTAGAAAACTACAGATACTGAAAAAGTCACTCACCGTTGTACTTGAGGTTACCGGTCGCGGCACTTAACTTGTAATTCGAGGAATTCGTAGCCATGGCGGAAACAGCAGCTTCTGGAATCTGCGTGGCGTCTAAAGCTCGGATGGAGAGCCCTGCCAAAAGGTCACAACTAGGTGACCCAATTCGCGGCGGGCGCGCGCACTGTGACGTCAGCGTGGGAGGCTCGTCTCCAAGGGTGGAGCCAGTCCAAGGGTTGAGCTCTTCGCAGTGTCGGCCCTTTGGCAACGAGCGATTATTGTTCGAAACTGTTGAAGTTTTAACGAATTCCATTAATTTTCACTTGGCGTGGCTGGTAATAAAGCACCCTCTGGAACGAGCAACAGGAAAATTGGGTTTTTCGTATCATATGATTACAGCATTGTTGGTTTTTTTGGCGAAAGGATTTGGGCGAAATAGTTATTATAAGTTGAGCCTCCCCTGTTTAGCGAATAGAAACCCATTCTCTGACGTAGTTAAAGCATTTTCCCACACCTTTGTCTCGTTTCAAAGATTCAGAAGTCCTAAATCAACGTATGTCATCTACTGAGAACACTTTCCATCCACTATGTTTGAAGAAAACTCATCTCCTCGATAAATAATAATCATTCTTTGGTCGAAGGGAATATAACCAGCCATTTTTCCCATGATTTCATCGAGGATATCAAAGATATAAGATTTGAGAGGTGTAAGATTTTATAAATTGATGCATGTACCTACGTGGTAGGAGATCTTCATGAAATATGAGAAATGAAACTTTCTATGTTTTTATACCATTTGTATTTGTAACCAACATTGCTGCAGTTTCGTCCTATGAGAACAATCATCTCCTACCACGTAGTAACGGCTACATCCATCAATTTATTGAAAAAAGCAAGTACAGCTAGACAAGTCACATACTACTTTGAACTGAAAATGAAGTATCATCGCAGAACTTATGGTTCAAGAAGAAAAATTACCCCGAAATACAAAAACACTGTTCTCAAAAAGGAGGAATCTTCAAGAGTATCTGAATTATATGAGTATCTGATTCATAGTTTCGCCCAATAAGTCGTTGATATACAGTAAAATGAGGCTTAGGGACAATATGGATCCCTGGGGAACATCAGCGCTGATGGTGAAAATATTCGAGAGATACCCATCGATGGCCTCTTGAAGAGAACGTTTTTTCAAGAAGCTGGAGAGCCATACACAAAAAAATGATCCATAGCCAAAGCCATAGCTTCAAAGTTTGGCTAGCAACCCTTTATGCCCCCTACGGTCAAATACTTTAGAAATCTCAAACACTACGGCTCTTGACTCTCGATTGCGTTATTCCTATACATAAGCATAATTAAAAAACAATATCAATTAAAAGTCAATAATTTATTCTTTACTGCACTTTTCAAACAGTTAAACTTTGATTTACTAATTACGAATGAAGAATATCCTGAAAGGGATACAGACTATGTCCTCCTACTCCACAATTTCGGTTTCTTGTCTCTGAACTCACGTTGAATATTGTGAAGCATTATATTTCTCTATAACTAAATCGAAAAAAAGTTATATGTGGAGATTTATTGTATCAAATTCATTTTTCTATTCCCCAGTTTTAGTTCAAGATACCACTGTAACTGTATCTGTAGAGTGAGGAGGGTACTTAGGCCTTAGACGGTACTTAGGCCTCATGTGATCCATTGTACATCTTCCCAAAGAGTTGTCCTCATAGTTTATCGTCCATCCTGTCCTTTCCAGGAAGGTGAACAGGTCACTTTATATAGGCAGGTGTATGCCAAGACTCGCCGAACACACACTCTCTTATTGACGATAACTCAGGACATCAGCATAGGACATGCCTGATAATCTCATCTTCCTGTTCACATATCCAGCATAGAGGTGTGTCCACTAGCCCCATTTTGTGGAGGTGTTTTCTTAGTTGACAGTGGCCAGTTAGAAAACCTACTGTTAGGCGTAGATTTTTCCTGGTCATCGCCAGATATTTCTTCGGCGCCAGCTTCCCAGGCAAGATTGTATCCTTTGATTTCATCCCATCGCTTAAGGGATTGGGCATGGGTGTGAAGTTTGGCTAGTTCCGCTATTGTCGAAGTCATCAGACCGTAGGTGCCACTGGGTCCTAAAATTCTTAGTTCAGCCGCTTCCTTGGCTAAAGAGTCGGCAATGCGATTACCTTCACTCCTGTCATGCCCTTTAATCCACCTCAGCATAATGTTTAGCTTTGGCTTAATCTTGGTGACAGTCTAGTTCTAGCCCTGAAGTAACACGTTGTCTGTTCAAGGCTAATAAGGCTTGTCTGGTATCAGTGCAGATTGTTTTGCCAGAAATTCATTTCCTGGTTACTTCTTGCGTGGCAATTGAGATACCAGCCAGTTCTGTTTGAACCACGCTAGTATTTGTTCCTATTCCCCACCTAATCCTTAGGCTTAGTGATCTGGAGTACACTCCACATCCTGAGCCTTTTTTTGGTTTTTGAGCCGTCTGTATATATACGTAATGCATTCGTAGCATCTGACTCTGTGTTCTGTTTTATTTGTATTTTGTTGAGTTTACTAAACATAAACCTGAGTTCAATTGCATCCCTGGTTGCCTGCAGCAGAGGTTGCGCAGTAAGCGCTTCTCGCCATAGGCTCAGCCTCAATTGACCCATTCCTACTTCGAAGTTTACACCAGTCGTGCGCAATCGTAACATGACCATTACCGTAACAGGTCCAGAGGGGTCAGACCAGTAATTAATTCCTTTTTCGCGGTTGGTGTTCTCATGGCTTCTGTGATGTTTAAACAAGCCAATTGCTGAATTTGATATACTTTTTGGATGGCCATTGCTTATACTCCACTGTCCTCCGACATTGCTCATAAGCCACATATGATATTTTTGCTCCACTCTGTAGGTGAGAGTTCCATGTTAACTTCCTGTTGAGGATAGTACCAAGGTATTTCACCTCTTCAGAGGAGTTTAGCTTGCTTCTGAAGACTTCGGGAGGTTTTAAGTCCGATAAACTTCTTTTTCTGGTGAAGAGGATCATCTCAGTCTTCTTGGGATTGATCGACAGTGATTCAAGATACCACATAACTTTTTATTGTGATAACTATTGAACAATGGTCCTACGAAGATCTCCTGTCATTTTGATAAGTCAAAACTTCATGCCAAGGCTGTGATTTATTCTTTTGTTCACTCTTCTAGAAAGCTGATATAGTGTCTAAATTCGGTTCATAATTTTGAAAGTATAATATCAATCACAATGATCACATAAATAGAACTTAGTTTTTTTCAACTACATTCTTTTTTATGTATACCATTATTACGCATATTTGTAATTCAGATAATAGTAATAAATTATTTAGTGTAGTTATGTAGTGTAGTTGGGTGTTTGTGTCCGTTAGAAATAAATGACTATCTGCCTATCATTCTATCCATAAAATATTCTTTGTATATTAATGGTCATAACTTACCGAAATGTCAACTTCCATGATCACCTGGATTAGATAATAATAAATAGACCAAGACGATTGAATTCAAACTGTCATAGGTTCCAACAAGTCTGATTGACCTTTTTAAGTGTTAGTAGTACCGAGTTTGCATGAAGATATTAATGAACTGGTAAATTCATAACTAACGCGGTCATTGCGAATAATCTTAATTTAGATCGTTATATAAACAGGGTGACCAATGTTAGAGATCTCAAGACAATACAAATAAATAATTTGATGTTAAAGATAAATTGATGGACGTAGCCGTTATTTCCTTCATCAATCTTATACAATTGTATGGAAAATTATCAGATATAAGTGCTCAACCCAAATTCCAACTTGTTATGGACTGACCACAAATTTCACATTTAGAAAGTTTTATCAACTGTTTATTTTCCAATCAAACATATGGTTCTTTCAAGTGGTTCATTTGAAAATGAATTTTCAACTTTTCTCATTGAAAATAGAGTTTAACTGAAAAGTCTACCCTCATATCACTTCCATTCTGAACTGTCAGTTTGATTCATTGGGCTATAAATAATTTCATTACTATTTCCTCAGTTTGCTGGAGTTTTCATCGTTACTTAATCTGAACTTCTTATTAAACTTCGAAAGATTGGAACTCAAATAAGTTTGGAAGTTATTGGAATGAAAGTTTGAACGGATCTAGATTCGCGTTCTGGAGAAGTTTTTTAAATTAAGTTTCCTAATTTTGGAAATGATATAAAAAGCAGATGTGGTAATAATATTATTGAAATAAGACACAAAATTTCTGAATAGAACCTAATTTCCTCAATTCAGGAAATGCATTAGTATACAGGGTGACAACGAAAACATTACACGCGGTACCATTCAGTTGTTTCTGAGGTGACAAATTTGAAGTTTGAAAAAAAAACTGAAGACTTATTCCGATATGAATTGAAGTGAACCCAAGGCAAGAATTTAAATAGAGCTCTATATTTTTTATTTACAATTTTACAAAACATTTAGCAAAGTGTGAAATACAAAATATCAATGAATCATTATGTCTAGTGACTACTTTACTAAAAGATGAAACAAATCTGGTACTTACAAGAAATAAGATGTAAATAATCTGGTACTCACAAAGAAAATAGCAAGGTGAAGAAAAACTTTGAAAACGCTATAGCCTTTTCAATTGATTTTTGAAAATTTGAAGTGACACATTAAACAGATCTAAGTTACATGATTTCCCAGCTTCAGAATACGAGGAATCGGACTGTTTAAAGCATAATTGGTATGGATAAAATTTATATGAAAAACGTTAGGATTTCTCGTATCTTTTCGTTTGATATGAAAAGTTATTAGTTGAAATAGTTCTGGGCAGTTTATCTCACTATTTATTATTTCGAAAAGGGAACTCAAGTTCAAAGAAATTTTTCTATCTTCCAATAATTTTATATTTACCTTGGTTGAGAGTTGACTGCACTTATATTCATTTTGTTGAATACCACAGTGAAAAGCACAATTCCTTAAACATGTCTTTTGAACATTCTCAATCAAAAAGCTTTGAGATCATTCAGCATCTTTCCGGCAAGTAATTATTCGATAAAGTTTGAGATCATCCGCAAACATAAGAGATTCTGAATATTTGAAAACATACTCTATTACCGATACAAACAAGTTAAACAGCAGTGGATCCATATGGGATCCCTGCGGTACCCCTGATGGAGTTCTACCAGTTAAGAAGCTATTAATTACTTGCAAAATATTCCCGTCTATACCAAGCGCTTGAATTTTAGATATAAGTAGGCCGTGGTTGACTTTATCAAAGGCTTTGGAAAAGTCAGTATAGACAGAGTCAACCTGCAGCCTCCCCTCAAGATTTTCAGTTAAGTAGTTTGTGTAAAGAGCAAGGTTGTTACAAGTGGATTTCCTTCTGAGAAACCGTGTTGTTGGGGATTGAGTAAAGACTTATAGTCCCAGGAAAGTTTTGTTACCAGAAACCATGAATATTTATCCATTAAGTAGTGAAATTTCAGTTTGAATTATGAGAATACATAAAAGGTACAAATTAGATTAGTGCTGAACGTCCCCATTCTTTAGTAAAACCCTTATCGCGATTTTGCAAACTATCAAGTGAACAGCTTTCTAAAATTTTACTCATTATGTAGTTGAAAAAATTATGCAAATCATAGTTGCTACACTTAGATGGTATCAAGACGGTCTATTATTCTTTGGCCTATTCTCACATGGCTCAAAACATACTAATGTTGGGTACTTCTACTGGCACAAGACGTGTATTCATTCTACAAGAAAGAATCATGAGAATCATATTTGACATTACACCGAGATATAGCTGTAGAGCTTTATTTTCAAAATATAAAATTTTAACTTTACCCTGTATCTATATTTATAAAACTCTGCTTCATGTGAGATATAACATAGTTCATTTCAATCACCAGTCAGTCACTCTTAATCATACAACACGAACTAAACACTCGACCATCCCAAAACACAAAACTTCGACATTCAAGGAATCTCTCAGGTATAACGACATCATACTTTTTAATTCATTGCCACAGGATGTCAAGGACCTACACTCAGTAAGTTTCAAGAACCATATCAAAGAATTATTGACGAACGGGGGTCATTATAGCTAAGATGAGTTCATGTAAAGGGATGTCTTGATATAACTTGTTCTTACTGCTTTCTCTTCCTATTCTGAGGTTAACCTTTTTAATTGTATATAATTATATTATGTTGTTTTACAATAATTTGTCTATGATTTTGAAATTTGCATCAGTATGTCACTTGTAATGTTTGGTATAGTGCCTGTTTTATTTGATAGGTATATGTTTATTTATTTATATAGTTATTCATTGTTATTTTTATCATTGACATGTCTAATATATAATGATTTGGAAGATGAATAAATACAACAACAACAAAGTTCCGTTCTTTTCCTCACTGTAAAAGTTCAGAACAAAAGAACCTGATGAAAACGAACATTCCGAAATATCTGAAGTTCAACACCTACATTCCTGGAATAATGCTCACTCTACAAGCACATTAGCCAGGGATATTTCCATTGGACTCAGCTCTCCAAGCAAAGATACAGATCAACTCAAACACCCCCTGGCTCCACAAAAAAATTGACGAACACCGTAAACTACTAAAACTTCCAAGTCCGCCCCATCCCGTCTTGCTCTAGTTCGTACCCGGGACGCAGCAGCTCGAACGATCGGCGGCGGTTCGTGACGTCAGAGGAAACGCAGGGGGGTTGGAACGTACGTGGAGGCGGTATGCCGACGCCATTGGTGTTTCTCTAATTGATTTAAAACGCTCGCCTGCCGAGATAACTAGTTTGTGTTACCACTAAGCGGGGGTGGTCGATTTCCATTTCGCCAATAAATGCCCTAATTTGAATTATTGATCCACTCGGAAACACGGTTGGAAATTAGTACAGGGATTATCGCAGGTGTTAATTGTTTTCTGAGATTTATTGAGGCAACAAGACAATACACTGTTGAGGCAACAAGGCATTTATAACTACCGAAACGATCAATAGATCACCTTACAGGGCATTTTAACAAAAACTTGACTCCTCCTGTAACTCAGAAGCGGAAACGTGATCAAACATTTCAGTGAACACATTCGAGGAAATCAACAACACATGCAAATAATAAAATTGTTTTATCGAAATTGGTGTCCTGTTCGAGCAACGTACCGCGAGCTCCGCCATAATAATTATACCGTGTGTGGTCTACTGGCTCAGTAAAAGATCGATCAACACCCGTACGTCGACGAAACGTAAGGTTTGCGAAAACATCCCCGCTGTCTGCGAGAGTGTGCAGGACAATCCAGGGCAGTCTATTTGACGTTGGTCAGACCATCACTGTCAACGGCAAGCACTAACGGTCGAATTGAAGATTATGGCTTGAATTTAATAATCTGGATACCAACGATAAGTGGTTTCAATAGAACGGTGCTACGTGTCACATAGCTCATGCCACATTGGATATTCTGCATGAGCCATATGAGGCCGTGGTCATCTCACGTGGACTGGCCACCGAGATCGTACGATTTGACCCCATTAGACTTTTACTTGTGGGGTTCCCTCAAGTATTATTACAAACCACAACATAACCCATGTCTTCTGTCAAATTCAGCCTGATTTATGTGCGGGAGACATGAAAAATTGGACGTTTTGGAAGCGTTCGACCCAGGGAAGCCGTTGAGAATATTTGAACGATGTTATATTACACATATAATGGCATCTATACGTCTTTCAAACGAATAACAAATTTCGATAATATCTCGTACATACTTTATTTTATTTTATAAGTAGGAAGCGCCTAAGAAAAGATCTATATTTCTTCTAGAATTGTTTAATTTATTGTGGAGAAGCTCAAAAAAAAGTTTGTGTTCGTTCCTTTATTGAGGAAAATCAACAACAAACAAAATCACAGCAAATATATTGCTTCACCGAGTACCAAACATTGATACAGTTGACTTTCAAAACCTTTTCTAACACTCAGGGTCAGCAATTGGCGTTCTCAAACAATTTTCTGCCACAGCTTCTTTAGGTTTCTAGGTTTAGTAGATTAGATTAGATTAATATGGGGCTTCTGTGCTGAACAGCCACTACATTGCTACCTTTACAGATCTATTGTGTGTGCCCTCATGTATGCTAGAGTTCCTGGTCTAGGCCCGTCCTTGTAACTAGACTCCATAGGCCAGACCTCAAGTTCCCCATATATTGAGAGGGTTGTGGTTTTCCCTCCCCTAATGTTGCAAACCTTATCCTTGACAGACCTTCGCAATAGCATAGTATGTGTACGGAGGTTTCCTCATCCTCTTGGCAAAACCTGCATAGGGCTGTGTCTACCAGTCCGATGTTGTTCATGTGTTTGTTGAGTCTACAGTGTCCTGTCAATAGCTCCTGAATATCGTCACTTTTTCATCTAAGCTTAGTGAGACTTTTGTCTTTGGTTTAGTTATATAGATTTCTGCTCCTACACCTTCTTCAGTTTTTGAGCCGTCTGTGTAACAGGCAATCTCTGCATTTATTGGAGGTCCTCCCTTCCATGCCTCTCTGCCTGTTATAATTGTTTCGAAGGTTTAGTTGCGTAAGAGTCTATTTCA